CTTTCAAAATTCATTGAAAGCCAGACACCAGTGTCTCATGCCTGTAATCCTGCTGCTCAGGTGGCTGAGATTCAGAAGATCAGTCCAAAACCAGCCAAAGTAGAAAAGTCCACAAGACTCCATCTCCAAAATTGCCGACAAGGGCAAGGAATGTGGCTTAGTGGTAGTGTTTGCCTAGTAAGCATGAGGCCCTGGGTTTGATTCCTTGGTACCACATAACACAAAAAAATAAAAATTTAAAAATAGTCATAAAACTTAAAAAAAAAAAAACGAGCTGGGAAGGTGGCTCAGTGGTAGAGCGCTTGCCTTGCATGCATGAGGCCCTGGGTTCGATTCCTCAGCACCACATAAGCAAAAAGAAAAAAGCCGCAAGTGGCACTGTGGCTCAAGTGGTAGAGTGCTAGCCTTGAGCTGAAGAGCTGAGGGACAGCGCCCAGGCTGAGTTCAGGCCCCATGACCGGACCAAAAAAAAAAAAAAAAACAGGGTTACAAGCATGGCTCAAATAATAGAGTAATACCTGAGTAAGCATGAGACCCTGAGTTCAAGTCCCAGTACCAGCAGAAAATAAAAATTTATGCACTTCAGATGAATACAGTTTATATGTAAGTTAAACCTCAGTAAAAAGTTTGTTTTGTTTTTTAAGTTGGGCTGCAATTTAATACAAGTATGTATGGTGATGTTTTTACATTGAGTTAAAAATACCCATGTGAAATGTCTTGGGACTTTGGAAGAATGTAATGAACACTGATTTTCTACATAAGGAATATTTTGTCAGTTAGCAAAACTGGTAAAAATTAGTATGGGCTTCTCATAATTTTCAAATTAACTGTGGATAACAGAGCAGCTTTCTTTCTTTCTCTCTCTCTCTCTCTTTCTTTCTTTCCATCCTGGAGGCTGCAACTCAGGGTCTTGGCGCTATCCCTGAGCCTCTTTGTGCTCATGCTAGCGCTCTACCACTTGAGCCACAGCACCATTTCCAGTTTTTGAATGGTTAATTGGAGATAAGAGTCTCAGAGACTTTCCTGCCCAGGCTGGCTTTGAACCTCGATCCTCAGATCTCAGCCTCCTGAGTAGCTAGGATGACAGGCGTGATCCACAGAGCAGCTTTTAAACCTCCCATCTGTTGCTAGCGTGTTCTGTGTGTGTGTGCGCGTCTTCCTGTGTCATCATGCTGCACGTGCCCCCGAGTCTCCTGAGTGCCTCCTGGTGTTGCCTCGCCCCTCCTGCTCATCCCTGCTTGTCCTTAGGGTGTCATTCCTCCACAGGCTGCTGCTGTGGGAGCCACGGACTGCAGCTCTTAGGGGTGAACTGACGTGTGTGGTGGGGCTGCCTGGGTGCAAGACGGAGCCGGGGCCTGGTGCAGGGTGGGGTTCGCAGTCTCTGCCCTGTGCGCTCACTGCCTCCCACTTGTTTCTGTGCGCAGGGGACCATCAGCGTCGGCGTAGATGCCACCGACCTCTTCGATCGCTATGACGAGGAGTATGAAGATGTGTCTGGAAGTGGCTTTCCACAGATTGAAATTAATAAAATGCATATATCTCAGTCCATCGAGGTAAAGTGCGCCAGCTCAGTGCAGCTGGAGGGCGAGCCTGCTAGGGTTCCACATCTTCACTGATGGAAGGATGCCCTTAGCTACTCACAAAGCTGTGCACTCCGCTCTCGGTGCCCACGCAGGAGTGGGCAGAAGGAGCGGGGCTGGGGCACGTGGCTCCCACCGTCCCTAGTCCAGAGGAGGAGAAGCCCAGGGTTGCAGTGGTTGAGGTTAGGAGAGAAGGCAGGCAGGCCTCCACACAGCATTGAAAAAAGACAGCACTCGTGTCTGGGCACATTCCACGATGTGCCGCAAGGCAGTGACAGCTCTGCACCCTGGGCCAGAGGCCACCAGCCAGGTCACCTTCCTGCCCACTGCGTATGCTCCTACTCAGTCTCCTGGATGGAGGCCAGCTTAGGCCATTCCTTCCTGCTTGAGGTACAGCCTGCAGGTGGGGTCTGCTCAGAGCAACCTGCCCTTCCCAGCGCTGCCGGTCTGCAGCCGCGCAGGCCCTCTGTACCTCTCAGAGCCCCGTGGCAGGTTCTGGAGCAGCCCGGGAGTCCCGGGTAGCAGGCACGAAGCCACTGTAGTTCCTGCCGTTCACACACTGCCAACCCAGCTTTGGCTCTGTGTCCCTGAGCTTGGGGAACGTGCCCCTTAAAAGCTTTCATGGCCACAAGCAGTCCTCATGACCAAGGGGAGGGAAGCAGCGCGGCCAGGCGGCTCTGCCCAGGGCCACGCCCTGACAGGGTGTCTGTCTACCCAGTGCTGGTTCTACCCTGGCTTTGCCTCCATTGTTACCGGGAGATGTTTTTCCCCAGGCACCCTTGACAGCTACAGACACCGCCATCCTCTCCGGAAGCCTCTCCACCCAGAATGGCAACGGAGGGGGCTCCATCAACTTCGCTCTTCGGAGAGTCACTTCTGCCAAGGGGTGGGGAGAGGTAAGGCCATGGGCAAGACTGCCTGGCCCCCCTTAAAAGCAGGCCCTCCAGCCGACGGGGGCCACGTGGTGCTGTAACAGGACTGAAGATCAAACAAAGGCATTTGCAGGCCCTCGGGTCTGAGGAGTCCTTAGAATAGGCTCTCCTGTGCGGTGGCCACTCCAGAAAGGCAGCCTCTGGAAACAGCTCAGTGTCATTTCCTGTGCTGCCAGAGGCGGGACTGTGCCCTGGCTCAGTGCTCGGCGCTCACGGAACAGCCCGCTCTGTGGAGCGGACGGCTGCGGCGCGTCAGCATGATGGGCTGCTGCCCACTGAGGCAGCCCGAATGGCTGCAACTCCAAGACCCTGGCAGTGCGGAGCTACGCCAAGGGGCTTTCTCATGAGACCCCAGAAGCCCACCCCAGCAGAGGGGTCGTTTGGGAGGGAACACACCTAACCACAGCAGAGAGGGGCCCAGGGACAAGCAGCCTTTCCTGCAGAAAGGAGCCCTTTCTGCAGCCTGAGCTTCCAGTAAACCCGGGGCAGCAGTCACCTCCAAGGACAGGGATGAAGCCGAGACTCAGGAATCCGCCACTCCCTCTAGGTAGAACCCTGGCAAGAGCTCAGAAACCAGGCAGGGAACTGGCCAGAGGCACACACCTAATCCTTTGCTGTTTTCTTTTTCCAACAGTTGGAATTCGGAGCTGGGGACTTACAAGGACCTTTATTTGGTCTCAAGCTGTTCCGTAATCTCACACCAAGATGGTAAATATGAGAGCGGGCTCCGTGGTATAGAAGCAGGACCTGCATGTTCTGTGATGAAGGGCATTTGGGCGGGGAGATGCCAGGGTCCTGACCCGGGGCCTGGCAGTCTGTGAGTGGGAAGCGCTCTGGACTAGGGAATGAGACTGCCTGGGCCGGGCCTTGCCTCTGTGCTTAGAAGCTTCCCCCACTTGGGGCTGTCAGCCTGCTGGTCCTGTGGGGGTGTTGTCCTTGTCCCCCAAGCTCACAGGTGCAGGAATGAAGCTATGGTGTTGTCAGGTCTATGAGGGTGAAATACCTGCTTTTGGCCAGGAGGTGGTGCTGCTCTCTCAGGAAGCTGACTAGCACTGCGCACCCAGAAAGTGGCTTCTGCTACAGCCAATGGATGTGCATCAGGATTACCTTGCTGGTTTGGGGCGTGGGGTTTGTCAGTGTTGGAGTTTGGGGGTTTTCTTTTTTTTGTGTGTGTGTGTCAGTCGTGGGGCTTCAACTCTGGGCTTGGGCGCTGTCTCTGAGCTCTTCAGCTCAACTCAAGGCAAGCACTCTACTGCTTGAGCCACAGCGCCACTTGCAGTTTTTTGAGTGGTTTATTGGAGATAAGAGTCTCACGGACTTTCCTGCCTGGGCTGGCTTTGAGCCTCGATCCTCAGATCTCAACCTCCTGAGTAGCTAGGATTACAGGCATGAGCCACCAGCGCCCAGCTCAGTGTTGGAGTTTGAACTCTGGCCTCACACTTGCCAGGCAGATGCTCTGCCTCCTGAGCTACTCCTCTAGGCCCATGATGGCAGCTTTCTACATAGATTGATACTGTGTCCCCACCCAGAAATTCTGACTTCCATGGTCCAGAACAGGACCGAAGTGAGTGGTTCTGACACTGCTGCACACTAGCAATGCCAGGGCTGCTTTGTGAGCCCAGGGGAACTGACCTAACTGACCTGCAACAAGAGAACTGACCTGCAGAGGGAACTGACCTGCAGGGGGAAACTGACCTGCAGTGGGGAACTGACCTGCATTGAATGAACCGAGCTGTGGCGGGGGAACTGACCTGCAGGGGGGAACTGACCTGCAGTGGGGGGGAACTGACCTGCAGGGAGGGAACTGACCTACAGCGGGGAACTAACCTGCAGGGGGGAACTGACCTGCAGCGGGGGGGAACTGACCTGCAGTGGGGGGGAACTGACCTACAGGGAGGGAACTGACCTGCAGCGGGGGAACTGACCTGCAATAAGAGAACTGACCTGCAGCAGGCTTGCAGTCCACTGTGTACAATCCCTGTGTTCAGTGCCTCTGGCAGGAGAGGGCATCTGTGGCCACCTGCCACACCCTCATTCTGCCTGCCTTGGCGGCCCAGGGACTCATGGGAGTATGGCAAGCAAGATCTTACCCTGGCCCAGGCAACCACAGAGCAGGTGTCATCCAGACCTTTCTATGTCCCCCAGCTTTGTGACGACAAACTGTGCTCTGCAGTTTTCATCCCGTGGAGTCCGGCCTGGTCTCACCACCGTCCTGGCTCGGAACCTGGACAAGAACACCGTGGGCTACCTGCAGTGGCGGTGGGGCATCCAGTCAGCCATGAACACCAGCATCGTCCGTGACACCAAGACCAGCCACTTCACTGTGGCCCTGCAGGTGAGGGGAAGACGGCTCCTGCCGGCCACGCGCTCTTCCGTCCCCCCGGAGCAGGGGTGCAGGCACAGTGGGGCACTCAAGAACTATTTCCTGCATTCTCGGGTGGCGTTTCCACATCCCCTGCGAGAGAACCTCGTGTGGGGTGGGAGCCCTGGGTGGAAGGGCACCGGCCGCTACCCCAGGCAGGCTGTGGGAAGACGGGATGGTCGGGAAGGGCCCTCAGATCCACTCACTGCTCCTCACCTCCCACCACAGCCGCTGCCCGGCAATGGGGGTTCCCTGTGGGCAGAAGTTCTTGTTTGTCTTGAAGCTAGACATGACATCTTCCAGTTTTCGCCCACGCGCTATTTAGCGTGTCTGCCGGTGACAGTGGTCCGGTCCTACACAGTGGCAGATCACAGCCCAGTCTCACACCTGTGCAGATGACAGGGGGCAGCCCTGCAGAGGCTGGGCCGGGCAGATGCCCAGCGGCTAGGGGAGCGCAGACACCATCTTCCCGGAGCACAGGGCCAGCCTCATCCTCACTCTGTCTCCGCAGCTGGGCATCCCCCACTCCTTCGCTCTCATCAGCTATCAGCACAAGTTCCAAGACGACGAGCAGACACGAGTGAAGGGCTCGCTCAAGTAAGTCATCAGCCTGGCGGAAGGCCTGCCCTGCATGGCGCCAGCTCTGGAGATCCCCACGGCGTCCCAGGTCTTTCTGGGGCGGGGGAACAGGCAGCCAGGCTCTGATCTGAGGGAGTCGGTGCTGACTGCTGCCCCTGCTCCCCGCAGGGCGGGCTTCTTTGGGACGATCGTGGAGTATGGTGCGGAAAGGAAGATCTCCAGGCACAGCGTCCTGGGTGCCGCTGTCAGCATTGGAGTCCCGCAGGGCGTGTCTCTCAAAGTCAAGTAAGTTGAGCGTGGCTCTTTCTGGTCAGGGAATGTCTGGTGGCTTCACTAGTGAAGGGTGGAGGACCTGGTGAAGTGAGTCAAGTGGTGGAGCGTCTGTCTAGCCAGCACCAGCCTGGGTCCAGACCCCAGAGCCACCAACCAAAAAGACAACCAAACAATGGATGGAATGGCCTTTGCTTTGTATTTTGTTGTTAAAGCTATAGCTGCAGCCGGGCTCCGGTGCCTCACACCTGCTACTCAGGAGGCTGAGATCTGAGAATCACGGTTCAAAGCCAGCGCGGGCAGGAAAGTCTGTGAGACTTATCTCCAGTAAAGCACTAGAAAACCAGAAGTGGCAGCGTGGCTCAAGCGGTAGAGTGCTCGCCTTGAGCTGAAGAGCGCAAGGACAGCACCCAAGCCCGGAGTTCAAGCCTTGTGACCAACAAAAAAAAAGAAAGAAAGAAAGCTATAGCTGCTTCTCTCTTGGCTTTGTGACAGAGATGGAGGACGACAAGAGGTTCAGTCGCCTCCCGCAGCAGGGGTGCCTGCCTGCCAGATGCTGGCAGTCTGCAGCCTGCCTTTGCTCTTCAGAAGCGCCCTTGCTTTTTGTGATACTCTGTGGCTTTCCTCAGCCATCAGGAGGGCCCCCACCAGGGGGAGCTCTTCATCCAGGTCCAGCTTGAGTGCAGCCCCTTGGCCCAGGTGGCCTCTTGCTTTACAGCTCCCCGGGCTGGGCTCCTACCTGGAGGCTCCACTGTGGAGCACAGTCCTCTTGTCTGGGCTCATTACCTTCAGCACTTTCATGCACAGAGGACTTTGTAAGCCTCGCAGCTTCTCCACACAGCCAGCCCTCTGTATCCACGGCACCACATCCTGGGACTCAGCCATCTCCGATTCAAATGCAGGCTGCTGTGGTGTCACATGCCTGTAATCCCAGCGCTACAAGATTGTGAATTCAAGGCCAACCTGAAACACATAGTAAGAGCCTGTCCCAATAAAAACAAAATGTTGAGCCTGGCGCTGGTGGCTCACGCCTGTAATCCTAGCTACTCAGGAAGCTGAGATCTGAGGATCTCGGTTCAAAGCCAGCCCAGGCAGGAAAGACTGTGAGACTCCTATCTCCAATAAACCACCAGAAAACCGGAAGTGGCACTGTAGCTCAAGTGGTAGAGCGCTCGCCTTGAGCTGAAGAGCTGTGGGACAGCACCCAGGCCCAGAGTTCAAGGCCCACGACTGACAAAAAAAAAAGTTGGTGGGGAGAGTGCATTTGTGTTGAACATGTGTTCATGAAACAATGATCTAAAATGCAGAGGAATGGTGGAATACTCTGTCGTGTTACATAAGACACCAAAGCATGCCTGCACCCGTGCTCTGTGGCTGCCAGGGGACAGACTGCAATCCAGTCTTCCTCCCCAGCTTTGCGTAGATACCAGCCACTCAAGTGTCACACATCCAAGACCTGCAAACACCCTTCCCAAGCTTTCTCTGCCCGCAGGCTTTCCCACCTAGGGATAGGAGCTCCTGTTTGCTGCTTGGCGTTGGCCACCATCACACTCCCCTGCTCAGTCTGACCCATCTGACCCTCTTCCCACACCACCTGCCCTTGCAAATGGAGGAATCCCCCGGCGGCGTCATCCCACTTAGAACTGCGGCTGTCTCTCTGTCGGCCTCCTCTCCTCTCACCAATCGCTGGGACTGCCCCTCCTTAGTGCCCAGCCCCAGAGCAGCCCCACCCCTCACTCAGCCTGGACAGGCTTTTACACTGCGGCCTCTGCTCCAGGACAGGCTTGGCTCTCTCTTTTTTTTTTTTTTTGGCCAGTCGTGGGGCTTGAACTTAGGGTCTGGGCACTGTCCCTCAGCTCTTCAGCTCAAGGCAAGCGCTCTACCACTTGAGCCACAGCGCCACTTCCGGTTTTCTGAGTGGTTTATTGGAGGTAAAAATCTCAAGGTCTTTCCTGCCCAGGCTGGCTTTGAACCTCGATCCTCAGATCTCAGCCTCCTGAGTAGCTAGGATGACAGGTATGAGCCACCAGCACCCGGCCCAGGCTTGGCTCTTGAACAGCACTCGATGTTTGCCTGTCTGAAAGCAGCTCATCACAGTTCTGCAAATGAGCCAAAGCCGCTTACCCAGTTCAAAACCCGCCTCGCCCTCCCTCAGGCAGGTGGGGAGCCCAAGGTTAGTGCAGGTGAGCGGAGCTGTTGGATTCCTCCTTTATTATAACCTGAGTTTTTTATCAGATGGATTCTCATGGGAAGGCTTGGATGGAAGATGCATTTTCATTCCAGCTGAGTTTCTGTGGTGGCGTGGCTGGGCGTGCTGGCCATGAACAGTCCGTCCCTCGGTACCTGCGCGCGCGCATGCGAGTTCCACTCGCCAGACCTCAGGATGCTTGTGTGACACAGGGAGCGTACGGGGGGGAGGGGGTGGACCAAAGCCTAGACGTGGCACAAATGTTCCTGGGTACACTTACTTGCTTAACTGAAGTAACTTCTGCAGCAGGTTCGTGGCCTGCATTTTGACTGATGTTTTAGATTTTGGTGCATTTCATATTTTCAGGGTTCAGTTTCAGCAAAAGCAGGTAGTCGTGCTTTGCTGACTTGGTTTATTTATCAGATGAGCCCCATTTTTAGCAGCTCAGAGTGTTATGCTTGCTAGACAGGCACTATTCATTTGAGCCATGCCTCAACTCTTTGTGTGTGTGTGTGTGTGTGTGTGTGTGTGTGTGTGTGTGTGTTCATTTGAGCCATGCCTCAACTCTTTGTGTGTGTGTGTGTGTGTGGGTGTGTGTGTGTGTGTGTGTGCGCCTGTTCTGGGGCTTGAACTCTGGGCCTGGATGCAGTCCTTGAATTTTTGGCTCAAGGCCAGTGTTCTACCACTGGAGCCACAGCTCCACTTCTGGATTTTTGTGGTTTATTGGAAAAGAGTCTCACCGACTTTCCTGCCCGGGCCGGCTTTGAACCTCCGTCCTCAGCTCTCAGCCTCATGAGTAGCCAGGATGACAGATATGAGCCCACAGTGCCCAGCCCTAACCTTGTTTTTCTGCTTCCCTTATTCTTCAGCTAGGGTCTCGTGTGTATACCTTGACGGCCTGGGCCACGGTCCTCCTGTTTGTGCTTCCTGTGTGGACTTGGGGACAGCCATGTACATGCCCAGCTTTTTGGTTTGAGATGACCTTTTTGTCTAGGCAGCCTGGGTAGCTAGGATTACAAGCGTGAGCCATCGGCGCCCGGCTTGAAGTATTAGTTTTTATATTGTTTTTTGTTATCAGTACTGAAGGTTGAACTTAGGGCTCACACTCTCTGTGCAGACCTTCTACCACTGGAGCCACGCCCACAGCCAGCCGCAGACCACTAGATCCTCCTTCCCGTGGCCTTCCTCATAGCTGGTACCACAGATGGTGCCTCCACGCCCAGGTTATTGGTTCAGAGGGGTTTCTTGAACTCAGTTGCCCAAGCTGGCCTTTGAACTGTGATCCATCCCCATCTCCTCCTGAGTAGTTGGGATTACAGGTGTGAGCCCTGACTTTATTCCTGGGATGGGGGGAGGGATCCATTAATCATGACATCATCATCCTTTATATTGTTTAATTTGATTTGCTAAATATCTTAGTAGGGACGTTTGTGTGTATATTTATTAAGGATACTGGTCTGTAACTTCCAATTTTTATTATGCATTTGTTAGGTTGGGGAATGAGCTGTGAAAGGCTTGTAAAATAAGTTAGGGTATGCCTTTCTTGGCTTTCTGACAAAGTCTATAACAGTGGGAAGCTATTGCTTCCTCATTTTTGGTAGAATTTACTAGTAAGATTGTTTAAGTTTGGATTTGCTTTTCTTTGTAAGAAGATTCTTGGTAACTAATTCATTTCATAAACATAGGGGCTGGGAAGGTGGCTCAGTGGTAGAGTGCTTGCCTTGCATGCATGAGGCCCTGGGTTCCATTCCTCAGCACCACATAACCAGAAAAAACTGGAAGTGGTGCTGTGGCTCAAGTGGTAGAGCACTAGCCTTGAGCTGAAGAGCTGAGGGACAGCGCCCAGGCCCAGAGTTCAGGCCCCACTACCAGCAAAAAAAAAAAAAAAAAAAAAAAAAAAAAAAAAAAAAATACGTCAACTTCATTATTTCATGTTTGTGATTTTTGTTTTTGTTTGGGGTGGGGTTACTGGTTGTTGTTACTGTTCCAGTATTGGAGTTTGAACCGTTAGCTTTTTCTGCTCAAGACTGGTGCTCTACAACTTGAGCTCGGTCCCCCTTCCTCTGCAGGCCTGTCTTATGGCCCAAGATGTGGGGGTCCTGGTGCTTCTACCACGCACGCACCGAGGTGAAGGTGCCTTCTGCAGTTGATACAGGCCGTGATTGACAGAATTCAACTCCCTGGCTTTGCTGAGCTGCCAGTTTCTTAGAGGAACAGTGCCATTTCTAATTTGAAGGGCTTATATGTGTTCCGGGGGTGTGGACTCAGCCTTGTGCTCCTGACAAATTCTTTCACTACAAGCTGACACTTGCTCTTGAACCGTTTAGTGTCTCCACTTCTGAAGGGCGGCGTGGTTTATCCATTTGATAGCTTTCTATAGTTTCTGTTTCAAGGGTGAAATGTCATCTTTTTTGTTGTTGGTTGTGGGGCTTGAACTCAGGGTGCTGTCCCTAAGCTCTGTGCTCAAGGCTAGTGCTCTGCTACAGCGCCACTTCCGGTTTTTGAGTGGTTAATTGGAGATGAGTCCCACAGGGACTTTGCTGCCTGGGCTGTCTTTGAACCATGATACTTAGATCTCTCCTTAGTAGCCAGAATTTCAGGCGTGAGCACCCGCGCCTACCTTTTTTTTTAATCTTGTTTGTGGTGCTGCAGAACACACACTAAACCTAGATCCACAGCCCTCCTCCTCATTCTCTTCTGCCTCAGAACAAACTTAGAATAGCTGCTTTGGGATCCTTATGTATTAGTGCTGACACCTGTGCTTGCTCTTTGTTCTTTCTTGTTGGCTAGTATGCACACACACGGGCCAATTTTTTTTTTTTTTTCAGTCATGGGGCTTTGAACTCTGGGTCTGGGCACTGTCCCTCAGCTCTTCAGCTCAAGGCTGGTGCTCTACAGCTTGAGCCACAGCGCCACTTCCGGTTTTCAGGTGGTTTATTGGAGATGAGTCTCACAGCCTTTCTTGCCCAGGCTGGTAGTGGTGGTGTATATTGTTGTTTCAAAAAAAAAAGCCAGGCGCCGGTGGCTCATGCCTGTAATCTTAGCTACTCAGGAGGCTGAGATCTGAGGATCACGGTTCAAAGCCAGCCAGGACAGGAAAGTCAATAAAAACCACTAGGAAACCAGAAGTGGCACTGTGCCTCAAGCAGTAGAGCACTCGCCTTAAGCTGAAGAGCACAGAGACAGTGCCCAAGCCCAGGGTTCAAGCCCCACGACCAACCAAAAAAAAATAATAAATATATAAATTAAAAAAAATTTACCAGACACTGGTGGCTCAAGCTGAAATTCCAGCTACTCAGGAGGCTGAGATCCGGAGGATCCCAGTTTGAAGCCAGCAGAAAAACATGGAGACTCCATCTTTGTATAACCAGCAAAAAGGCAGGCTGTGTGGTTCAAGTAGTCGAGGGTCAGACTAACAAGTCAGCCAAAGTACAGAGACTGAGTTCAAAACACCAGCGCCCAGTTGCAGAGGGAGTAACTTGGCAGGGCTGGGGTTGCAGACCCACTCACCCTTGGCAGCACTGTCAGATCCCAGGGCAGTGACCTGAATGTCTGCTCGAGCACAGCACTAGGTGATGCTGGCTCGGCTGGCTTTCACAGACCCTCCCTGTGTACATGTTCTGGCTGCTGCTGGTTCCACACTCAGCCCTGCTTCTGGGAGCTAACATGACCCAAACCCTAAAACAGTAACTCAGGAAAGCTCTCAGACCCTGTTTCTCCATCTCTGCCCGTCTGTGTCTGCCTGCTTCTGGCTGATCTTCATTCCGTACTCTACCGTCTTCATTTCTGACACCACAGGCTTCGAGTCTGGTGTGCCGCACGTGGAGACCAGCCCGAGCCGCACACTTGTCTTCCCTGTGTGCGGCCAGGACCCCTTAGCCATTGCTGCGGCAGAGCTGCTAACTTAGAGACCCCACGGGCGCGGTGTTGGAGTCGCCCTCCCCGCATGGGGACGGACGCTGGCTGTGTGCGCCCTGCTCAGCGCAGTGGCCACTCTCCGCCGCGGTCCAGCGTGCTGTGGAGAACTGGGGGCTGGGAATGTGGGGCTGCTGCCCTGGGCGCCGAGGCCCCGCCAGCCTGCCCTGCCCAGCACAGCTCATGGTGGGGTTCTGTCTTTGCTCTTTCCCTAGGCTGAACAGGGCCAGTCAGACCTACTTCTTCCCCATCCACCTGACGGACCAGCTGCTGCCCAGCGCCGTGTTCTACGCCACGGCGGGGCCTCTCGTGCTGTACTTCGCCATGCACCGGCTCATCATCAAGCCGTACCTCAGGGCGCAGAAGGAGAAGTGAGTGTGCGGACATGGGCGCGCCCAGGTCGCGTGGGTCACCGCGCCAGCCTCGTAAGCGGAGGCGGTGGCGGCAAGGCTGGGGACTCCCCTTTGCGTTCCTCCTTTGAAAAAGGGACTCAACCGGGACTCCAAGAAGCAAACAGGGTCCTTCTTGTGCTGGCCTCGCTGAGTTTGGGAGGAAGGGCCCTGCTCGGTGCCCTGGCCCGCGCCCAGAAGCTGGGGCCTTGGTGACTGCGCACGGTAGCTGCGGCTGCGGGGAGGAAGTTCCTCCTCGGGCCTTTGTGAGCGAAAGTGCTGCTGCTCCTCCTACCAGAAGCCTCCCTAGCAATCCAGAAGGCTCGGGCGGGGCGGGCGGGCGGGGCGGGCAGGGGGCAATGCTGGAGAGGCCCCTGGGCCCAGCCGTGGAGGGGCAGGAACCTCCCACAGATAACTCTGCAGTCCTAGAAATGGAGGCTCATCACACACAGCCAGGGAGACATGTGCGGGAACGTGTGGCCACATGCAGGGTGGCGTGTGCAGTGATGTGTGAGGCGGCGCGTGTCCGGTGGCGTGTGCAGTGATGTGTGAGGCGGCGCGTGTCCGGTGGCGTGTGGTGGTGTGGGAAGTAGCCCCTGTGGGGTGACGCATGCGGGGGCATGCGTGGGGTTGTGTGCAGTAGCGTGTGGGTGTATGTATGGTGACACGTAATGTGTGGGGTGTCACATGACATGGGATGACACGTGAGGTGCCGTGCGGGTTCGTGTGTGGTGATCCTTGGGGGGGATGTGTGATGGCGGGGGATGTGTGTGAGGGGACACATGTAGGGGTGACATGTGCTATGCAGGGTCATGTGTGGTGACGTGCCGTGGTGTGTAAGGTGTCGCGTGTGGGATTGCTGTGTGATGTGAGGTGGCATGCAGGTTCGTGTGTCGTGGCATGCAGGTTCGTGTGTCGTGACGTGCAGAGTCATGTGAGATGTCGCGTGTGGGTGGCAAGTGGTGGCATGTGGTGAGGTGTAGTGGTGTGTGAGGTGTCGCGTGTGGGGTGGCGTGCAGGGTGACCCCGGTTGACGTGTGCGGCTCGTGTTGTCTCATGCAGGGAGTTGGAGAAGCAGAGGGAGAACACCGCCAGTGACATCCTGCAGAAGAAGCAAGAGGCCGAAGCCGCCGTAAGTGCCGCCGCGGCCATGGGCCGGGCCTGCGGCCTGCGCAGCCTCCGCCCGGGAACGGGGACAGGGACACGCGTCTCGCGTCTCGCGTCTGTCTGTCTTGGGTTTCCCTTCCTTTACACACTGCTGGGGCGGGGCATGGGGTGCAAAGGCAGGGGCCGCGTGGGGTTCCTCAGAGTTGGAGGAGAGACTGGAAGGCACCGTGTCCGCCCCACGGAGGCGCCGCGGGGACACGGTCCACTCTCGGCTTCCCGCGCGGTCTGCATCGTACGTGCCGGGGTGGAATTGCTCGCGCCTCTCACCCCTGCTGCTCCCCGCCTCCCACCTCGCACCAATGCCTGGAGCTCGTGCGTGCGTGCCTGCGTGGATCAGACCAGGCCGTGCCCACGACCCGACCAGCCACGCAGCTCAGCGCAGTAGACCCGCATTCTCTTCCACAGGTACGGCTCATGCAGGAGTCTGTCCGAAGAATCATCGAGGCAGAGGAGTCCAGGATGGGTGAGGAACCGGGTTTTCTCTTGGGCTGGGCTCTCGAAGCTTCAAGGGGAAGGGTCTGGGCAAGGCTGGCCTGCCCTGACTGGCCGAGTGTGGTCCGCAGGGCTCATCATCGTGAACGCCTGGTATGGGAAGTTCGTCAACGACAAGAGCAGGAAGAGCGAGAAGGTGAAGGTGATCGACGTGACGGTGCCGCTGCAGTGCCTGGTGAAGGACTCCAAGCTCATCCTCACCGAGGCCTCCAAGGTGCGCCGCGCCGCGTCCCACGCCCCCCACACCCCCCACGCCCGCCCACGGCCACTGGGGGCCCCGACACCCCTGCCACTCAGGCCCACTGCCCGGGCCAAATCCACACCATGGACCTTCCTCCCTCCCTCCTCTTCCTCCCTCCCTCCACCCGCTCCCATCGCATCCTTACCCCCTTCCTTTATTCCACAAGTCGCTGCACAATTGCTAAGGCTTATGCCAGCACACCCACACGCAGCCCCGCCCCGCCCTGCCGCGCCCCACCCTGCCGCGCCCCCCTGGCCCTTGCACTGTTGCCGTCCCGAGTGCGCAGGCTGCTCCCGGCACACGGGGCCTTTGCCCTGGGAGGAGCAGCACCTAGGGGAGCCAGCGGGCCAGCGGGCCAGCGGTGCGGAGTGTGGGCAGGCGGGCAGGCGGGGATGAGCCTGTCCAGCACTGCCCAAACCCCGAAGTGCACCTCCCCACCCTGTGCCCGGGCGTGTGGCACTGGCACCCGGGATGGGTGGCATGTGGGGCGGCCTGAGAGACTGCCATCTGCTGCAGGCCGGGCTGCCGGGCTTCTACGACCCCTGTGTGGGGGAGGAGAAGAACCTGCGAGTGCTGTACCAGTTCCGGGGCGTGCTGCACCAGGTGATGGTGCCGGACAGCGAGGCCCTGCGGATACCCAAGCAGTGTGAGTGGCGGCGGCTCCTCCCATCCCGGGCACATGGAGTCCAGGGGGGCATCGGGTCCTGCGGGCACCTGGCTATGAGCAGGGCGGTGAGGATGGGCATCTTTCGGAGCCTGATGGGTCTTTCCTCTCCCAGCTCACAGGATCGACACAGACGGATAAACTCCTTGGGGACATGATTTCTAAAAGGCTTCAGAAATTCTTTTCCTGGGAATCTACAAATTTGGAGGCAGGGAAAACCAGACACCGGTGTTGTTCTTTCTCCCTCTGAGAAGTGGCATCTATCAATTATGAGAAGGGACGCGCAGACGCCCTGCTTCACGAGCCTGTGACGACTGAGGAGCCCCCACGTGCTGCGCCGCCTCCTGTCCCCAAGGATCATGTTCCTGGAGGGCGGGGCCGGGCCCTCTTCGTCCCGGTCCGGTCCTCAGCACACCGCTGCCTGGAGTTCTGGTCCCCAGGAGGGATTTATGGAACATCTGCCCCCAGGTCCACGCCTCCTCCAGCCACACTGGCCACGGGACACGTGGACAGGAAGAAGGAAGGCGTGCCCTGTGCCAGGCCTCCAGACCAGGGGCGCATGCTCCAGGGCTTCCCGAGACCACCTTTCTTTGCTGGTGTATTACTACATGAACCTGGAGAGGACTGTGGGTTTATAAAACTGCATTTTATCTGAGAACAAACAGGTTTGGAAATCAGTCTCTTTATTCCCCATTCCTAAAGCTTCTCAAGCCATTCTTCTGGGTCCCAGGGCCCAGCTGGTGGTGGCACCCTGACCATTCCTCTGAGAGGGCCTGCCGCCAGTGACAGGGCAAGCTGGATCCTTCACCAGCCAGCCTCGCCTCTAGAGCGTAGGGGTTGGGAAGCAGGGAGCTCTGCGAGGGAAGGGCCGGCAGAAGGCCCAGGGCTGGCTCCGGTGCCTGTGCATCTCACCAGTGCCCAGCAGGTGGCGCTGTGGCTTGTCAGGCGCGGCCCAGCCCTGCCCCCATGGACGGGCCTTCCTGTACCTCAGCTCCCAGAGCCTTTCTCCTGCAGTTGCTGGGCCACTGGTGAACAGCCCTACGCCTGCAGGAAGGTACTGTGGGACCTGGAATACCAGTGGTCACTCGCTGTTCCCCTCCAGCAGCTGCTGCCCAGGCTGTGACCACAGGCCCTGGAGGCGGGGCCCACTGTAGCCCCCTCTCTTTCACACCCAAGTGTCGCTCATGACCCTTTCATGGGATGGCCCAGCTCTGTAGTAATCACCTCCGTTTTCTCTCTCCGTGGAGCTACGTGCAGGCTGGTGTTGCATGCGTCGGTCGGCTGGCTGCCCAGCCTCCTGAGCTGACCATACCGGCGCTCTGCCGCAATAAACCTGTCCCGCCTGGTCTGTGCGTCTTTAGGAGGAGCACCTCCAGGGGCTATTGCCCCCCCCATGACAACGCTGCCACACACCACAGGTTAGCAGCAGTCTACAATTTGGGACCTTTTGGTTCTGACTGTATTTTGTGCCAGTCTCGGGACTTGAACTCAGTGCCTAGACGCAGTCCCTCAGCTTGCTTGCTCAGGGCTGGTGCTCTACAGCTCCCACTTCCCGCTTTTTTTTCTTTTGTCGGTCATGGGGCCTGAACTCTGGGCCTGGGCGCTGCCTCTCAGCTCTTCAGCTCAAGGCTAGCGCTCTACAGCACATCTTCGTTTTCTGGCGGTTCATTGGAGATAAGAGTCTCATGGGCCTTCATGCCTGGGCTGGCTTTGAACCGCAGTCCTCAGATCTCAGCCTCCTGAGTAGCTAGGATTACAGGCATGAACCCCTGGTGCCTGGCTCCACTTTCCAGCTTTCTGCCGGCTAACTGGAGATGTGTCCAACTTTCCTGCTGCAGCTGGCTTTCAATAGCAATCCTTGGATCTCAGCCTTCTGAGTGGCTGAGACTACAGGTGTGAGCCACTGGGCCCAGCTTTTCTTCCCTCAATAATTGAGATTTGGGGGCTGGGAAGGTGGCTCAGTGGTAGAGCGCTTGCCTTGCATGCATGAGGCCCCGGGGTTTGATTCCTCAGCACCACATAAGCCGGAAGTGGCGCTGTGGCCAAGTGGTAGAGCGCTGGCCTTGAGCTGAAGAGCTGAGAGGCAACGCCCAGGCCCAGAGTTCAGGCCCACAACCGACTCAAAAAAAAAAAGAATTGAGCTTTGAACTTCAGGCTTCACTCTTGCTAATAGGCAGGCCACACTAACTCTTGTTTCTTTTTTCAATTAAACTAACTACTTTTTGTAGTCAAAGGCAGTCACCGGAAAACAGGGAGTAGCTGTGGTGAGGCAGAAAACTACAGGAAGAGACCTTGGGGTTTTAGGGATTCTTTATTGCTGTGTTCACACAGAGGTCTGCGCAGCAGGGTGGGGGCTGGTGGCTGGCAGGGGGGCCCCTCCGTCTGCTGGGCGGTGGGAAGGAGCTCAGCCCGGAGGAGGGGCCCAGGACGGAGCGCTGGACGTCCCCTGGCCAGCTCCTCCAGCTCACCAGCGAGCTGCGGACAGAAGCTGGGCGCGGGCGCAGGCGTGGGCTCCTGCGCAGGACAGCGCGTGTCCAGCCGCCGTCTCTGAGCCGCTGGGCCGTTCTAGGCAGGTCTCCACACCAGCTCCCCGGCGTCCCAGCGGGCAGTGTCCCCATCAGCACGGGGACCACGCAGAGCCCTGCGGGCTCAGCGCCCCGGCTCGGGCCCCGGCCCCTCCCCGCGGGCCCGGAGGCGGCGGGCCAGCCTGCGCATGGCCAGCCGCTGGGCTCTCAGGCGCTTTCGGAGCTTCTCATTCTCCTTCAGCGTGAGGAAGAGTTTTTTTTTCAGGGTGTCTAAGTCCAAGAGGGCGTAGCTGTGGTCAGATGGCCACTTGGGGAGCGGCCTCCGCACTGCAGGCCTGGCCGGCCGCCCCGGGGCTTCGGGAGCCTCGAGTCTGGGCAGCAAGACCTGAGGACAGAGGGCAGCGCGATCAGCGCCGCCGCCTCGCTCTGCCCCGGGCCTGCGCTGGGGTGACCTCGCTCCACTCTCACAGCAAGATCCCGGGCGTCCGGCCACACCACCCCACGCGGACCCCGGCGTCCGGCCGCGCGGACCCCGTCTCACCTGTTTAACGTGGCCTTCGGAGGTGGGGGGCAGGTGGAGCCCCCCCAGGGCGGCCTCCACGCTCCTCCCCAGGCTGACCTGCCCGGCCCCGGCCTCAGGGCGGACCTGGAACAGGAGCAGTGGCCATCATACCCTGGGGACGGCTGCCACTGTCCATCCAGAATAACCCCCGCGCAGGCAGCTCCTCCCAGGGCTGGCCGCGGCCCAGCAGCAGGAGACCCAGGATGGAACCTTCGGGAACTAGCCAGGGCCCACTGGGGCTCGTGCCCCGAGCACTCACCTGGCCCTCAGAGCTGCCGTCCCCGCGCTCGCGCTCGCCCGCAGCCGCGGCGCTGTCCCTCGCCAGCTGTAAGCCAGAGCGGAGCTGTCAGGAGGCCCAGGCCCGGCAGAGCCGCGCAGGGCCGGCACCTGAGCCCACGGTGGGTCCCGCCGCTGCGCCACCTTCTGGCTCAAGGGGGCACACACACCCCACGACTGGCACGGCCAGGCCGCCATGTCCAACGACCAGGACCTGCCCCAGCCCAAGCTGCGCCCCGCTGGACGCCAGCCCATGTCCCACAGCCGTGTGCGCACGCGCAGCCCAACTCCTGGAATCAGAGCCACACGCTCCGGGGTCCCTGGCCACCAGGTTGCAAGGTGCGTGGCTGCACGTGCTGCCCAGAAACTCCCGCGCCCGCCCGGCTGATGGCATTGACACCACAAACTGGAGACGCTGCGTGCTCTGCTGCCTACTGGACAAAGAGACACGGTCCACCCCCAAATCCTGGCCATGCTGGCGGCTGAGCCAGCCACCGGCCTCCAGAAGCCGGAGTGAAATGCCTGAGCCTCAATCTCCAAGCCCAGGCCAGGGATGGAGCAGCGGAGCCAACGATTCCCTAAAACCCACTGGCCACCCACTCCCATGCCCCCCCCGCCTCTCTGTCCCCCCCACCCCACCCCGAATCCCTCTGCTCCCCTTGCAGCTGCCCCAGCCTCTTTCCTCAGCCAGCCCTCTCTCCTCCCAACCCAGCGCAGGGCCCAGCAGGGCTCCCAGCTGCTCCACCTCCAACAGCGAGTGCAGAGCCAAGCTCAGCTCAGGCACCAGTCAGAATGCCTGTGTGTTCCCACCATGGGGCTCTAACTCGGCCCAGCGTGCCCCTGAGCTTTTTGATTCGAGGCTGGCACTCTACCAACTGAACCACAGCTCCACTTCTGGCTTTTTTGCTGATTAACCAGAAATAAGAGTCTCACAGAGCCGGGCGCTGGTGGCTCACGCCTGTAATCCTAGCTACTCAGGAGGCTGAAATCTGAGGATTGCGGTTCAAAGCCAGCCCGGGCAGGAGAGACCGTGAGACTCCTATCTCAAATAAACCACCAGAAAACCGGAAGTGGCACTGTAGCTCAAGTGGTAGAGCGCTCGCTTTGAGCTGAAGAGCTGAGGGACAGCGCCCAGGCCCAGAGTTCAAGCCCCACGACCAACAAAAAAAAAAAAGAGTCTCACAGATTTTCCTGCCTGGGCTGGTTTCAAAGCAAGATCCTCAGGTCTCAGCCTCCTGAGTAGCTAGGATCACAGGGTGAGCCCCAGCATCCAGATTGATTTTTTTTTTTTGATCAGTTGTTTATCTTGAACTCAGTGCCAGGGCCCAGTCCCTAAGCATTTCTGCTAAGGCTAGTGCTCTACCACTTGGAGCCACACTACCACTTTTGGTTTTCTGGTGGTTAATTGTAGATAAGAGTCCCATGGACTTTCCTGTTTGGGTTGGTTTCTAACTGTGATCCTCAGATCTCAGCCTCCTGAGTAGCTAGGATCACAGGCATGAGCCACCAATGCCTGGCTTGCCTGGATTAAAGCAGCTTTAGATTACAACTGTATGTGTGCCAGTACTGAGGCTTAAACTCAGGACCTTAGCTTTTTCACTCAAGGCTGGTGCTCCACCACTTATGCTATACTTCCACTTCTGGCTTTTCAGTGGTTAACTTGAGTCTGTGACATTCCTGCCCAGGCTGGCTTTGAACCCAGATCCAAAGACCGCAGCCTCCTCGTAGCTAGGTACGCTTTACACTTCCTGGAGGCCCCATAGCCTCTCCCTTTGCTCCCCACGCAAATGCCTCCCCCTGCCCAGGTCTGAGCTTGGAGGCGCAGCCACGCCCTACCTGAACCCGGTCCTGCGAGGCAAACACGGTGGGCACAGCATTGTGCTTGAGGTTCTTGCGGTTGCCGAAGGCGCTGAAGCACTCGGGTCTGAAGTGCTCCGAGCAGATGACCGTGTGCTGCTTGGGCTTGAAGTCAGCCCGGCCCAGGTTCAGCACCCACTCCTTCAGCAGCTCCGGCCGGCTGAACGGGAACCTGCGAGCCGAGCATGCCAAGGGACAGCTTTAGAAGCAGTAACCCCACGTGACTGAATGGCTTTCAGTTTCTAGAAGCCTCTAATAAAGCACCTAAAAGCCCAAGCACAGGGCGCTGAGCTGGAGATGGGGTGCCACCCAGGAGCCCATACTTGAGAGAGCGGGGACTGTGGGCACGCAGGAGGCCACATGGGGCCGGCAGGGATGACCCAGGTGACACAGCGGCCTTGAGAAGCGGCGGCAGGAGCAGGGTCATGGGGAACACAAGGCCCAGGGCCTCGGGCAGATGGGGGTCCCTGGAGACCCTGGGCCCAGGCCAGCTGTGACTGAGTCCACTCTGGCAGCCATGAGGGGCAGCAGCTGGCCGGGGGCAGCGTTAGGAGGAGGCAGGGCACGGAGGCTGCGTGCGGCTGTGTTCTGGAGGCCAGGCACTGAGGCTGGTCAAGGACCAAGAAAGGCAGCTGCCTACCATGGAGAGGAGGGGGGGGGGTGGCCTGGGTGCGCTCTCTAGAGTCCCGGTGTGCTGGAGAGGCGGGGCGGGTGGCAGTGGGGAGCTGGATGGCCCGTATCCCGGTGAGACGAGGGCTTGGAAGCTGCATGGGGGGGCGGCACCGGGCACGGGCCGCCACAGCTGACCACATGTTGCGTGTGGAACAAGGAGCGGGGAGGGGACAGCCGGGATAGAGGCAGAGCATCAGACAGTTATGGATTAAGATGAGCTCAGGGCTTGGGGGAGGGCCCGGTGCATCTGACCAATGGTGCGCAAGGCCCTGGCGCAATCCCCACCACTGAAAAAAACAAAAGCAAAGGTTTACCCAAAGCAGGGGAAAGGAGCAGTTACATGGCAGTGGAAGGACGCACTGGCTTCCATCCCCAGTGACACAAGCAAAGGAAGATCAGTAAGAGGGCCAGGACTAAGGGAGAGGTGTTTTGCTCTTGGCAGCACCAGGGTTTGAACTCCCTGCATGTTAGGCGAATACCTCCTTTTCGATGCTTATTTTGGAGACAGAATCTAGTGAACTTCTCTGCCCAAGTTAGCCTCCAGATATTAGCCTCCTGAGTAGCTAGGTGACTTACTAGCTCCCAGCAATAGGAATGACTGGTGCAAACAGCAAGAGTGGAGTCAAAAAAAGAAGGAAAGCAGTTCTGAAACACTGGAGGAGCCATGCGCCCCTGATTCACACCTGTAATCCTAGTTAGGAGGCTGAGATCTGTGGATCATAGTCATACCCAGGCAGGAAAGTCCGTGAAACTTTTATTTCCAATAAACTACTCAGAAAAAAAAAAAAAAAAAGTGGTGCTGTGGCTCAAGTGACAGAGCGCTAGCCTTGAGCACAAAGAAGCTCAGGAACAGCACCTAGGCCCAGTTCAAGCTCCAAGACCAGCATAAAAATAAACACTGGAGGGGCTGGGAAGGGGGCTCAGTGGTAGAGCGCTTGCCTTGCATGCCTGAGGCCCTGGGTTCGATTCCTCAGCACCACATAAGCAAAAATGAAAAAAGCTGGAAGTGGCGCTGTGGCTCAAGTGGTAGAGTGCTAGCCTTGAGCTGAAGAGCTGAGGGACAGTGCCCAGGCCCAGAGTTCAGGCCGGACCCAAAATAAAAAAAAAAATAAACACTGGAAGCCGGTGGGCACCAGTGGCCCTGTCAGGAGGCTGAGACATGAGGATCGCGGTTTAAAGTCAGCCTGGGCAGGAAAGTCCGTGAGACTCCAATAAACCACCAGAAAACCAGAAGCGGCGCTGTGGCTCAAGCGGTAGAGCGCTCGCCTTGAGCTGAAGAGCACAGGGACAGCGCCCAGGCCCAGAGTTCAAGCGCCACAACTGACCAAAAATAAAATAATATGAACACTGGATGGAAGTATAAGGACATGTGCACAGTCGGGTCCTTGTAAACTGTTGTTGTGGCCAGAAAAACAGAGCCAACAAGATGTCCTTCGATTGCAGAATAGGTAAATTCTGGTATGTGAATTTGTGGAATGCTATGTACCAAGGAAAACAACAAACTCAAGCTGCCGTAAACAGAAAGTACAACACACAAGCACACCAAGTGGGTCAACGGCGGCGCCTCGGAAGGCTGAGATCTGGGGATTGTAGTTTGCAGCCAGCCCGGGCAGCAAAGTCCAGAAGACTTTATAAACTCCCACGAATCACAAAAAAGCCAGGAGAGTGGTAGGTGAGCGGGGCCGTGCGCAGAGCTGAGGGCCGGGACGGGGCCGCGTCCGGCGCGCTGCAGGACATCACGAAATGGGAAAACGGACCATCACCGAGGACTCCAGGCCTGGGACCGAGGGCGCGGACGCGTTCTCAGCAGCGCGGACAGCTCCCCCGCCGAGGGGCGGCGGGCGGGGAGGC